ACTTGGCATTTTAACAGATAGCAAGTTACTTTTAAGTGGGTCTCTGATACTACCTACACTGTAAAGACTTCAACTTTGGTTGTTTTCTGAAAAGATCATTTAAAGGACAAGGTACATTTAGCATAACACATAGCATGAATTCTTCTGTCCTTGCTGACATACTCCAAGCCTGTGATCAAAGGATATATGTACAGTTTTGTTCCTGAGCAAAGTAAGTGGGAAATAATATCATGCTGCTATTAAACATCCCAGAACAATTAATGTTTATCTCTAAAACCAGTATGTACTTTCATACACTTAACACAAATCATCTCTCACTCCTGTGCCTTGTAAAAAGTTGGGAGCAGGTATTCTACAATTCTGTGTGTTTATTCTGACATGACAGACATGTCAGGAAGAAGGACACTGCAAACAGTGAGCTTGTTAGTTGATGTGCAACTGTGGCCAGGAAGAAATCTCAACTGGGACTAGCTCAGGCAGTTTTCCACACATTCTTGCTGTCCTTTTCTCCTCTTTCTCCTTCTTTTGCTCTCAGTACTATTCCCTTTCCTAAGTCCTGTGCTCCCTTTCTTACGTTCAGAGCCTAGGAAAAGTGATGGAGTGGGAGGGTGGGCTTACCTGCTGCACTGGAGCTGGCACCTTGGACCCAACCTGTGCACTGATAGTGAAGACTTGACACCCTGCTTGGTCTAACTTGGATGTCTGGAAGGAAGGGTGCCTTGCACATAGGCTAAACAGTCTTGTTTTAATGTTTGGAAACTAATGCTGTAGGATTTGTAGTCAATGGAAACGGGCAGTAGCCTCCTCTGCAATTACAAGAGTCCATATTACACTATTAGAATCAGAATAATTTAGGTTGGAAAAGATATTTAAGATCATCAAGTCCAACCATCAACCTAACCCTGTCATCCCACCACTAAACCATGTCCTTAAGCAACATGTCTACATGTCTTTTAAATACCTTGCATGAGTATTTCTTGTTAAATGTGTCTTCTAATGAAACTTCCTAGTTCCTCAGAAATGGCGAGATGATAATGTCACAATCTCTCTGAGGGCATAGGGAGAGCACATGAGGATAGACAGACACTACTTCCTATCTAACAAACCACCTCACAAGTGGGATTTAGTTCTTGTCATTAGTTTTTTTATTTATTTATTCCTATTGTCATTATAATGTCCAGGGAGTATTCCTGATGACTTCCTCTATCTTGCATCTGCTACTACTGGCATGCCAAAATAGTAAGCAGCTAGGACTCTGGCTTTTAGTTGATTACTTCATAAGGCATAAGGAGTCAGGATAAACCATGGTCTTCACAGCCACCTTGAGGACACACGGTCCCCAGTTTTTGAATTGAAAACTACACAGGAACAATCCTGCTGTACTGACTGTATGCTGTGCTCACCCCTAGCAGATAAGTTTTAAATAAAGTTTTAAATAAAAGCTATAACTATGTAACTGTAAAGGTTATAACTATAGAATGATGTCTCCTTATTTCTCTCCCACGTTGACAAAAATAGACAAGTGGGAGGTGCCATCTCTAAACCTACTCTGAAATAAAAACTTCCTGATGTGCTGCAGTCTCAGAGTTACTTGCAGCTAAGGCTCCTCCTGCCAGTTCTCCATCTTAACCCGTCAAAATCTAAGGAAGCAATTTCCAGGAGAGCAACAGGCTTTGTTTTCTAAACACCTCCCTACCCCTGCTGTGATACAAATTCAGTAATAATGTCCTTGGCAACTTGTGGATGGGCACCTTAAAAGACAATGGTTAAGTAGATACCGATGATCACGGTCTGTAGAAGTTTTCCAATTAGTTTTGTGACCTTCTGTTTCACTAATTCCTCCCACTCCCTCCCTCAAATACTCCGACCTTCCCAGTCCAAGTTTCAAAGTTTCAGTTATGGGCTGAAAAGCATACATATATATTGGTAGACCAACTACTTTTACCTGGAATTCAAAATTTGCTCAAGTAATTGTCCTCCCTCCTCAATACTAGGTCCATATCATTACCCAAATTAGTTTTTGAAATTGCGCTGCCTCTCAGTGGGCGCTTGAATGAGAATTTGATGATGATGAAAAACTCCTGTCATTGTCCTGTTGTTTGGGAAGCTCATTAGGTGAGATACAGATAGCATAAGTGATACACTTGTTTTATGGGCTTCTATAAATGATAACTTAGAAGGTATAAAAGCAAGTAACTGCATCTAGACAATTTAAAGCCAGTAGCACTACAATAATTAAAAGATCTTTCTAAACTGTACTGGTAGTACAAGCAAAACCTCTATAATCAACTTATCTGGGGAAGCAATCAGACAATAAAAACTGAGGCATTTTAGAGACTAATAAAGCTGTGGAATCTAATGACTACAATAAATCTTTAGCTGCAGTTATTCCAGAACAATTTCCCTTGCAGTAAAAAGTATTCTACAGGGTTTTCTGTGAAATTATTGTTGGTTGGTTAGATGTTGATCATAAGAAGCAATTGCAGTATGATGATTTTATTTTTGGCATGCATTTCCATCATTCACCTCTCCCTTTCCTCATGAAGTCTTTTGACTTCATTCAAAGGCTAGAATCAAGCAACCCTTTGATAAAACCAGAAATAAATTTCTTCATGGACTTACTGTACAAAAATACACACTAATATTCTAATGTCCTGCACATTTAGTTCAGCAGTGTAAATGCAGCAGTTTTGGGCTTTGAGAACTATGCTTCTATGAAGTACAACATTGGTCATTCTGCCCACAGCTCGTATTTGATGCAGGCTACAAGTAAATATATGAGTAAATAGGTAGTAGGTATGCCCTTAAGGGTAGAGCTTGCAGGAGTTGAACCCAGCACCTGAGGTGACATGCCGGAAGTGAGCTAAGTGTGTAAGCTCTTTCTACAGTCAGTGGAGCTCTGGTTAAGGTTCTCAACAGAGTTCAGGGGACAAGTCATCTCGCCCTACAGCAAAAACCTACATTTAGCCAGAAGAACAGCACTTTAGCCTCCACAGATTAGAGAGGTTAAGATCTTTACTGGTACCACAGTGGAATTCTACATATCCCGTTCAAAGATAAATAACTCGAGTAAACTGAGGTGAATGTTGACCCTGGTATCAGAATGACACTTGCATGGCCACTTGTGGAATGACTTTGTCCTAAGCCTGGCTTATGTATACCTCTGCCACTGATGTAACACAACTGAGTGCTCCAACCAAATGGCATTCATTTTCACTTCCATGTTTTATCAGTTTTGAAAAGTGAAAATTATTGTAATTACCTATGCTGAGGTTCAGTGTATGAAAGAAACATGTTCATTGCAGTAAATGATTGTTTCAGTTTTTATATCCATTCTTCACCAATACAAATGAATATTCAATATATACCAATATAAGCCAAAGCAGGAAAATGAAGCTCCTTACTTAAACTTTGTTAGCTTATGTGATCAAAAACAACTAAAACCACCTCATAAAGACAGACATCTTATGGATGTGGTATATATGCCTTGAATTGTACTACCTGTGAAACATTTTAAAGAATTATTTCTTGGATTCACCTGAAACTTCCACTGCATTTAAATTACCTAAGTATAAAGTCTGATCACATTCTTATGGAGAAGACAAAAAAAATCCTTCTCAATTAAATGCGACAGAGAAAACTTGAAGTCACAGTACACTCCAAACTAGCTTTTGTTTCTTTAGAGGAGTTTCTATTAATACAGAAGAAGTTTCAGAGGGACTTTTAATAAACTTAGTATTATTAAAAACTGAAATTTACAGAATTTTTAAGACATTTTGCTAACAAAGTGTTATGAAGACAGCAGCAGTGAAAAATATTCTAACAGGTCAATAAAACTAGCACATAATGGTGGGGGTTTTTCTACTCCCAGTGCAGTGAGGTATTTCCTGCCAAATCTATCCTTTTATAAATGGAAATGTGGATACAATTGCCTTGCTTTCCATGTAAACTGGCTAATGGTATATTTACTTTTTAAGTGTAATGCTTACATTTGACATATTTAATACTTAAATAAAATGTTTAGAAAGTTTTCCAGTTGTAGAAACTTGTATTTTAAATACGAATATACAAAACCAGAACTAATAAACCTTACCAAAAGATGATAAAAGTAGCATTGCTAAGTACTCAAATAGAAAATAAAAGCCACATAGAAAAATGGGAACAGAATGAAAAAGGAGCAGCAGACCCCAGCAGAGTCACCGAATCCTTTTTCCTCCCTCCAGAAGCAGTGATGGAGCTACTCAGAGCAGGCACTACTCTATGGGGCGCACCCAAGTGAAAAAGATGCAGGTACGGGTCCTGCGGCTTTTGTGTATTGCCAGCTGTAGTCAGGTAGCTAGGGACAGATACAAACCTCGATCCCAACGAAGAAGGACGTGCAAGCTTCATGCAGCAATAGGGAACACACAGGGCCAGCACCCGCGGCAGCGTAGGGAGAACAGATACACAGTGCTCTTGGCACCACTCACTTCTTTTCCACCAAACCTGCCTCTGTATGTTCTTACTGAGCCCGAGCCAGACAGAAACCTTTATTGGGTAAACATGGAGTTGATGAGGACTAATTTTAGTGCCACCTGTCTCCCCAGGCTTAGCACAGCAGGCAGTGCTGAGCCCAGATTTTGGAGCAGTACTGAACCCGGCTTTTCGAGCTGGGCAGCCCAGGTTGCCTCTCACCCACAAACACCCAAGGAGCCCGGTGAGGCTGCGACCTCCGGAGTCCTAAACTAGGAGTACAACACTGAGCATTTCACTCCTGAAACAGCAGAAGTTTTTAACAGCAGCCTGTGACCATGTGAGAGGGAAACACGGTGCTGTCAGCTTTGGAAACCACTGTGTGTTTACCTTCAAAAGCAGATGCACTCTGGATGTTTATTCAACACCCGTTTATCTACCCAAGATGCACAGGAGCTAAGCTTCAATATTATTTAATCTGATTTAAATCAGTCCTCCCAGAAAGCACGCAGCTGAATTTCAGAACAGAACATTGCTTTCAGACTTACCTTTCTCTGGTTTGTCTTGTTCCGTTTCTTTTTCACTTTTCCCTGGAATATTAAAAACATAATTTCAATGAAATAAATTTATGTTAACAGTTTATGATGAGAAAGAGATACAATAAAGTTACAGCTTATACTCAAAATATACTTGGGCCAACAGGACTTTTTTGTTGCATTTTTATTTTTTAAAGTAACCATAGATTGCTGCCTGAACTATAGTTACACAAAAGGTCCTTCTCTGCTGATGCTTCAAACATTAGATAATTGCTTCTGTCACAAAATATTTCATAAACTTTCCCCTTTAGATATTTGGTAGATTTTACTGACACACATTTATGATGCAAGCTATTTTGCAAGAAAAAAAAATTGTTCACCAAGTAAACTCTTGGGAACACTAGCTTAATATATATAGTTGATTAAAATGTAAAAAATATGAAAATCAATTCGGAACCTAAGTCTTATTTTCAGAAGTGTCTTGGGCATTTGGAAGCTTTTGTCTTACTTCAACTTTTAAAATAATTTAACCCAGGTTTTTTGTAAGCATCTGAACGCATGGATAAATGTTAAATAAGCACAAGACAGCCTGTAGCGAAAGACAGAGTACACACTGTATCAAAATCATGTACGTGTGTATCGTGAGGGTGGGACACACAGACACAGGCTCGTCCTCTCCTCTTTTTCTCCTCTCTAAACACTTTTTGATCCCGCCCTGCTCTGTAACACTTCAAGCATCTCGCCTCACAATTCTAACATTACCATTCTTTTTCCAGTTTCATCTCAATAAGCTTCCAATATTTCCTCCCAATAAACTTAACAGAGAATACCAAAAAGGTTGGCTTTTTACTTAGCTATTTTCCTCTCTAAGATACACTCTTTTTGATGTACTCTTATATATAGAAAAAACATTTTCTTTAATTTCTAAGTCAATTAGAGACATCCTGACAGAATACTCAATACAGTTTTTTTAAACTGACTGCTCAGAAGCGTTATATTCTGAATAAAATACACGATGTAAAAATGCTGAAGATTTCTTTTTTCATGGAGAAATTGGGTTATGCACACATATGAAATCAAACCATTTCGCATTCTAATTTCACCCTTTACTACAAGCTGACAATAGTTATTACTGAACATGCAGCCACTGTGACTCATTTTTTATATTCAGCACAAGGCAGAACGAGTACTAACTTCATTGGGAAATGGTAAATTAAATAAATATGGTCACATCAAAAGTCATTCGTGTCTTCAATTACATCATAAAATCCAGTTTGTCAATTAAATTGAAAGAAAGGACAAAAAGATCTACAAAGTCAGTTACATACTAGGGGATAACTTGGAGAAGGATTTTTATTACTATAACAGTATATTAACGAGAGCATTGTCCAGTAATTTCTAAAATACTGGCTTGGTTTTATTTTTTTGCATATACCACACAATAAATAAAACTTATGTCCATCCATATGTCATCAAACATACTTTATTTTAAAAAGACCAATAATGCAGCTCCAGATGAGACACAAAATAGTTTATATACTCATATTTCTGTTATTTTTACTGACTCGAAGCACACGAACAATTCATTACAGGATAGTAAACCATGGTACAGCATACTACTTAACCACCCATTTTCCCTGTATCTTTTCCATTATCAGCAACACTGATATTCTCACCTGACCTCTTCTCTCCAGCTCTCTCTAGGTCACTCAGTGACCCTCTTCCACCCAGCCTGGACATCCATGTTATTTCTGCAACTTCTTTTCCATCACAGGAAGAACAAGGTATGAGCTCACCACTCTAAAGCCTGCTCCTATCTCCCATCTCTTGTCCGGCTTCACATTTCTTTATCACTGAGGCTCATGCAACACATAACCTACAGTTCTCTATACCCATTTATGTACTATGATCAATTCTCCAAATTCTCTCTCAGACTTTTTTCAACCTGTACTCTGCTAAATTAGCTGTCATTGATTTCACCAAAGCCTCTCCAATGATCTTCAGATACTCCAGCTTCTCCTTCTAGGTTGCTGCTTTTGAAATTCAACACAACTTGACCTTGTTAGCTCTGAAGATCTTATTTCTCACAGCTCTCACCATACTTAACTAAGAATTCACTTCAGCATCACATTCAGCACCTATTGCTTTGTTCCCCCCACACTGATCCCTTGCTTGCTTTGATGGTTCAAACAGTTTTAATGCTGCTATTTCTGACAAATGTTTAAAAATGTGCTGTCTCAAAGACAGGGATATGATAGTAAACCTTGAAAGTAAACCTTGAAACTATTTTATCATCAACTTAAACCAATTATAGCTCAAACAAAAAATTTGTCTTAGCTCTTAAAACCACTCTCATCCTTTACTCAATTTCTGTTTCCAACAAAACAAATTTAGATCAAAATCCTAGACAAAACAGTTTTAACCAATCTCTATAGGCTAGGACTGCTATAACTGGGTAATGTGTGCACCAGGTATTCCCAAGAAGGTTTCTACCAAAAAGAGTATATATTTTTCATACTACAATACATCTGAATATTTGCAAGCACATGTGACAATGACCTGAGTCACAATTAAAATGCATTTCATACCTTGTAGCTTTTACATGAATCCCAATCAACAATATAAACATATAAATTGTTGTTTACATATATGTAATTTTTGAAACATGTAGAATAGCACAATGATACTCAGTAATACCATGACATTGTTCAGTATCTTTCCAATATTCAATCTTATCCATTTTCTTTACTTCTTAGAAAGAATAGGGTCACGATATGATACTTTTTCAATTACTGAGAATGTGAAAAAGTCACTTAAAATTGTAGTAAATTTTCAGTATTAAAATAAAACTTTAAGTATCCTACTCTTATTTAAATTTTGCTATCCTTATTGGTATTTCGTCCTGCAATTTCCAAAAAAGCAACTGAATCCAAGATTTCATAGATTCTGAGATATAGCAAGAAGCAATGTAGCAATGTGAAAACATAAAGAAAGATGTAATATTTTGACCTTAAACTACAGGTATTTATTCAGCAATATTTCATCATAAAAATATTGAAGTGTTTGAAAACTGAAAAGATCAAGGAAGATTTTTGTTTTCAAATAGAGAACTGCATAGACACAACACCCTTGCTAGTCTGCTGATTTAAAGTATGGACCATAACCTAGACTATTTCTCCATGAAAGGTAGATACCATACTTCCCCCCCACATTCGCCTTTGTTAGAGTGGTATCTCATCCATCTTAAGTTACAAATAGAAATTATGTATCATGGACAAAATTCAGGCCAAGTTGGTTTCACAATCGCCAATACTCCAAAAAAAGAAACACAATTATAGAAGACAGAGACCTTAGAGTAATGCCTGTTTCCTTCACATAATACCACCCAGAAATTAAAACTACTTCTACTTGCTATATTTCTTCCTCCTTGTAAATAATACTTTCAAATATGTTTTTAAACATTCAAAATTATTACTTTGAAAAATCATAATATTAATTAGTGGCTGAAGCAAATTTGTATCCCCATAGTTAATATCTACCACATTTTGGAAAAAAATAATGACACTAGAAAGACAAGGATATTCTTCTGTGTTTTATTGCAGCCCAACATTAAAACAGATTAAATACACATTTTTTAATAGTCCTCTTGACCTTGCTCAACTTGGCATATTTTTGTAAACACGAAGCACGTAAAATCACATACCCAGTTACAAAATACTTAAAAATTTGATCACAGCATAATAAACTCTCACAGTCCCATAATTCTACAAATAGGCTGCCACTGTTATGTAAAAAGTCCTCCATTCACCATTCTAAAATTATTCCCAAGCTTCCTCACAAAATATGGCTTTTTAAAAATTATTGCTCTGCAATTCACAATCACAGGTAATTTTACTAGAATATCCCATCCCAAACCATATCACAGTCTAAGAGTATTATTGCTTTCCTTAAAAGTCTAAAGAAATCACTTTGGGACATCTGTGTTTGTTGATCAGATGTAACACTCACTTATGTGAAGTCTTACTGAAATCCCAAACAAAAAATGCAAGCATATATGATGCCCCTTTCACTATAAATGTAAGCAACTAAAAGCCTGACTTCAAAACAGTGTTACAGAAATTTAAAAGCTCCCTGTCAACCAAAAGGCAACCACTGTTAGGGCTACCAAATTGATTTTTCTTCTCAAAAATTTATCTTACTTCTTGTAAGCTCCTGTATCAGGCTTGGCAATTTCCTAAAATCACAGCAATTATTCCTGAGCCAAAAAGGAACACATGCAAAATGCTGAAGAATAAAATATGTCTTCGTAATTGTGGAACAGCATCACAGAACAGGTAAAAAGTAAACCTGTTATATTAAAATTCTAAATCACTCGAAGTCTAAATTTCAGACGTACCATTTACAAAAGCATTTATGATTGTATGTGTTAATTCAAAGCTTTTTTTTAAAATAAAATTTACAAGTCAAGTACTTGCACAAATTTAACTTTTTTTAATAATTCACTAATATAAAGCTTACTAAATCCAGCTTTGAGATCATTATATTGGTAGCCAAACTAGAATTTTATTGAACTCAACCTGAGTTTTGTTGCAATCTACACTGACTCCCTGCCAGGCTATTATAAATTTTCTAGACTTTTTTGCTTTAAAAAAATCAAATGTGCATAAATAAAACATTCTAATTCACACATAAAAGGTTTCTGAAAAACTTAATTTAGTAATCTGCCCTTTTACCAGTATGAATTAAACATACACATTTTGTATCTTGTTAGACTATTTTAAAAATCACCTGGAATTCATGTAGCGTAACTGTTGACATAACATCAGTGCAAAGAGATATATGTCAAACTTCACAGCATAGTGTGCGCCTGATTAGTGTTTTCAGTAAAATGCAGTTAGGCTGTATGCTATATCAGCAGTTATAAAACGTTTAAAAATTCATAATATTGTATGTTTCATTTGACCAAACTGCTCTGTACATACTGTATAATTCCACAACAAAAGATATATATTAAAATCTGAAAAAATGTACTTGCTGCTACATTATAAATAGAATATTAACAATTGCTTGAACAGCACATATAAAATGCAGCTCAAAGTTGCGACTCTGTCACAAACACAGAAGAAAAATAATGAATTCACTAAACTTGTCCAAGGGAAAAAAAAAAAAAACAAACCAAAAATCAGACAGGAATGTAAATGAAACATTTGAGTGTTAAAAAAGCTTACTAAAATGACAGTTGGCTACAACCCATTTACAATATCTTAGTGTTCGTTCCCCAAACCCTGAACTGCTTGGTAATTACATCATAAGATCTATTACAACCATCTGCTCCCCTTTTGTAGCGTATGGTTGGGGCTGGTCCTCCTGATGTAGGGACTTTTCTTTTGAAGCTTTAAGTATCTGAAAAAATAAGGGGAAATCTATATTAAAGGACCAACCAAAACACAACTTACTCTAAAACAAGCAAAAAAAAAAAAATCTTAAATGTTAAAAAATGCAACTTTGTATCGGATTAGTTATTTTGAGAAAACTATCACTTCTAGGAGCTATTATAATGGATATACACAAAGTTGCTGTATAATGTGGGAAATGTAATCTTTTAAATATTTATCTAAGCAGTAATTTTTTTCTCAGCATATGGCACTTCAGTTACCTTGTAAAGGAAATATAGGCCATGTCAGAAATACATTAAAACAATACTTTTTTTTTTTTTAAAGTCAAGGACACTTACAATTGGAAAAGAGAAGCCAAGGAATGAGGAAGGGTCAAAGTTGCAAAGTGGAAATTTCTCTACACATAAGGGATTTCAGCAGTTGGTAAACTAAATGCAGGGTTATAAAAATGTCAAGGATACAAGGTGAAAGCGGGGGTGTGTGAAGTAACCCTCAGACATTTTAAAACTGAACATATACAAGAGGGATCAAAATCCAAACACAGGGAGTAAAGGTATCCCAAAAAAGTGTAATGTCTCCCTTAAAATGTGTGTCCAACAAGTATCACTCTCCAACAAGTACCACTATCACAACCACTGCAGTTTATGTGCCAGTGTAAACCAGGATTACCCCCAAAATCCTAAATCAGTAATATTTCAAGCTGGCCTATCATACCAATCAAGTGCATTAATTTACAAAAATACAGACTATAACTGCAGTTAATATAGTCTTCTGCTGGAAAGTAATATTGGTAATAATTTTAGAATTAAACTTAAGAGAAGTGGAAAACAGTACATACAGACACCTTAAGATGCAGTTGCCTGTTACTTTTCTTTTTTGTGATATGCCCTGAAGTCAGCAAAAAACTTTTGACTTGCACTCCAGTATATTCAAATCCCACATGCTGGGAGTCTCTTCACTGGTGATATGAGACTGTTCCTCACAGCTAAATCCATCCTCTGAACTATCTCCTGTTTTCTTTCCAAAACAAGTAAGTTCCTATGTCAGACAAAAATCAAACAACTGCTCCTAACCTGATACAGACTGGTGCTACCATGCCTCAAATGAAGTTGCCTGAATTTGTAGTACCTAAGAATAAGGACTATAGTGACATTTCTGAGTATCTTTTACACTACCTGAAGTTATGTTGATTATATAGATACACCTTTCATATATGAAAACGGTGCATATGTGTATATAGGTGTTCTTCATTCAGAATAGAGTCCTTGACTGTCTCTAGTACAATGAACTTTAATATTATTATTGCTGAAATAACTGGAAACACCAGCTTTGAATACCTAATGAAATGAAATCACATGAACAAAGAAGAAAAGACTTCTGACAACAAAAAAAACCCCCATACTGAATCCTGCATCACAAATAAAAAAAAAAAATCCTTGGTAAATATAAATTTCATACTCTAAGAGGAAAATGTGAGAATAATGTTGCCTTCAAATTGGAATTTTCACATCCAAAAAAGACAGATAAACATAATTAATAGTAGGAAAAAACAGTAATTTGATAGCAATAAAATTTTTATTTCTGGTCAGTAGTTTACTTATGTTCCCTGTCTTTTCTCAATTTTCAGAGATGCTGTTTGAATTCTACTTTATGTGCTGACACAATAAAGTTTTTTTATGAAAACCAATAAACAGTAATTCTTCTGCCTTGAAAGTGGTTCCCACATAAATACACAAATTACTAAAGATTCTTGAGTATGTTGCTACACTGTTGCAGATTTTGTGCTGATCAAATTATTTTCATTTTCTACTTCCTAAAGGAAGAATCACATACATGGTACTACATCTAATAGTTACTCGTGTGTTTAATAACTGAACAATTAGGTTTTGATTGATTCTCTCACTTTCTTCCTCCAAGGGGAAAAAGAAAAAAGTCACTCTTTACAGTGCTGCTATTATTATCTACTTCCACAAAATATACCAGAGTAGAGCTAACATACCCTTAAAGGCTAATCTCATGGTTTAAAAAGTGTGTTGCACTAGTTTTGAAAACAACTGAAGGTAAAAAAATAAACCTAAAAAACCTTTTTGAAAGGATCTGAAATACATACAATTTCAGAGTAAAACAAGTTATTTTTCATTCTAACAGTATTTGAAAACAGCAAGGACTCTCTTCGTATCACAATACAGTAAAAGGAGAGTGGACAGTTCGGTTCAATTCCACTAAATTCAAGTGATCGTGCCCCTGTACTCAGCACTGGTGAGGCCACACCTCGAATACTGTGTTCAGTGTTGGGCCCCTCACTACAAGAAAGACCTTGCATTGCTGGAACATGTCCAGAGGAAAGCAACAAAGCTGGTGAAGGGTCTGGAGCACAAGTGTTATGAGGAGCATCTGAGGGAACTGGGGTTGTTTAACCTAGAAAAAAGGAGGCTGAGGGGAGACCTTATTGCCCCCTACAACTGCCTGAAAGGAGGCTGCAGTGAGGTGGGCATCCATCTCTTCTTCCAAGTAACAAGCGATAGGACGAGAGGAAATGGCCTCAAGCTGTGCCAGGGGAGGATTAGATTGGATATTAGGACTTCACCGAAAGGTCTGTCAAGCATTGGAAGAGGCTGCCCAGGGAAGTGGTGGGATATAAATACCTGGAGGGATTTAAAAGACATTTAAGAGACATTGTTTAGTGGTGGACTTGGCAATGTTAGGTTTACGGTTAGACTCGATGAACCCAAGGGTCTTTTCCAATATAAATGATTCTATGATTCCAAATGGTATATTTGGAAACCATCCACTACAATACACATAAGGGTTTGTTTGGGTGGGGTTTTTTTGGTGAAAGTAGGAAATTCTCTTACTGCTGCAAGACTGAGCCATAAATTACAGCACAAAAAGTGACAGAAAAATGGTCCATAAAAAAAAATAAAAAAATTGCAAGTTGATACTTGGACTCTGAATTTAGTTTTAAAATAGTGTATTTAAGTCAAGAAATTAGTTCAACATCTTCGCATCAGTAGAACTGACACTGTGCAGTGGAATTATCTACTGTTGAAATTTTGCAATAGTCCTGTAAGGGCCTTTTTGTTATTTTAAGGAGCATCGTTTTCTGAGAGAAAACACCTTTTCTTGTTCTATAGTTCCAACTTAAAGCACAACAAACTAGCTGAACACTACCTTTGCTGGACTTCTTGCCTATGCTGTCAAAGTTAACTCCTGCTTCCTCCTACACTGATTATAAGCAGTGTTTAAAAAATATTTCTTATTCATTATGAAACAAAACATTTTTATAGAGGGCATTTATTAATGAACACCTACGGTTTCAAATATTTCAACACACCATGTGGCTTTTATGTTAAACAGGTTAGAAAGATCTCACAGACAACACAGTTACGTATTGATACGAACATTTCAGATCACCTCAGTTAAGGTTCAGCATGTAAATTAAAACATGAACTAAACCAAGCCTCCAATCTGTACTAGGCAACCACAAAGGCCTCCTATGCTTTTTCACCTCTCTGGCTACTTTTGGCATGTCCAAGAACCAAATAAAAGTTCCCTTTCCCGCAAGGAAAAACAAAACCTGACAGAACTACCGGGGCACCACACCACTTAAGACCTTCTGCATATTGCAAAGATTAACTAACCCAGAAAGGTGCAGAACAAAACATAAACGTAATTCTTGGGGCTCCTGGATTGCAGCTTCTGTGATTTACTGTCCAGAGATACAGCTCAGTGTTTCACTCAACACAACTACTTCATTACAAAGAACAAACTAGCAACTTGTAATAATTAACTCCAAAAAAGCAGACAAAATGTCACAATACAGAGTCTTCAAAAACTCAGAAGCCATTTAGCTACTCTCAAAATGGTTTGGATAAACTCTATGTTTACTACTGTCACACCACAGACGGAAGAGCTGGAACTGCCGTTGTTCTTAAAATGAGTTATGTCAAGAAAAATGGGATGGCATGATGAAACAGTCCTGTTTCCAAATCAGTGGCCAAAGAATGTGCTACAGTTGGACTCCAACAGACCTGGCTGATACACAGAGAAGTAACAGTATCACCACCCCTGATCAGTTACTCTAGTAAGGAAGTATGCACATATTTTGAAACCTGAAATTTTTGTATTTCCCTTTACAACAAAAGTATGCAGCTCTGTCTGAAGTTGTTAAAAATTAAGTTGTAAATTAAAACTGCCCACAGTTTTATTTGGAATGCTTCCATATAACCCAGTAACTATTACTAGCATTTATCCAGTGCAAGATAAAAATTATTGCTTAAAAAACAGGAAGAAACTTTAAATGACAACAATGATATCCCTTCACTCCTCTCCACAAAGTATTTTACAAATTTTCCATGTAGCTATAGCTTCATTTTCTGGGGAAGAAACCAAGGACTTAATCTTAACTTACCCACTAGATCATCATTTGAATAATCCTCAGCTTGAACGGGCATTTCTGTAAGTCAAAAGTGTACAAACAATTCAAACAGGACAGTTCTCTAAATATTTATAAAACGCTGCATTTTTTGCCTTATGCTCAAAACAGCGACCTATCAAGACTTCTCTGTAATACTACTTTTGCAGAAGTTGGACGCAAATTTTCCTCAGCTGAATTTTTCCAGGGGAAAGATTAATATTTAAGTAGACCAATGAGTAAATTAGTTTCAAAAATGATAATTCAAAATTCTGAAAGTATACTATCTGAAGCACAAATCTCCCACAGTTTCACATGCTACTACAGTATGGGCTTACAAAATATTCATATACTTAACATGTTCCCAGCTGTAACTGTGAAATATTTAACTTCAGAACTTAGTTCTTTTAATTCCGTATGTATGTTTAAATTACACGCCAAGTGCTACTACTGCTAATAGACTGAAGGATGCACATAGCTCCCTATTCATGCACGGAGGGAGTCAGGCTCACCAAAAAATATTCATAATAGCCAGGATGCTGGCTGTAGACAGTAAGAAGAATCGAAGAGAGAGAAATACATTCTCTGGCTCGGGAAGCCCATAAGTAAGGTGCTCAAAGCTGGGCAGACATTCCACTTTATTTTATTTCTTACATATATTCTTTCCTGATTATGCACTACTGGCTGGAAACAGAGCACTGCAAAGAAATCTTGAGCTTCACATTGCCTAGTGTGGCCATTTTTATCGCTGTAAGTTTTTCTGAACTGGGAGCACTCTCAGCTTCTAAACTGAAGAGTGCTCTGTAAGCCATTAAAATATTGTCATTAAAACCCCCAAGATCTTAGATTCCAACAACACAGTTATGTTTGTCCTGAAAAGAAAAAAAACTGCAGAAAAAGTTACAAATGTATTTTTATTGCAGCACAGAATTCTATTCTATGGTATTTATCATTCTCCACATTTTCTGTATGCTTATTTTCTACTGTTATAAAGAAATAAACGTTGAAAGTTACACAATATGTTCACAATTTTCTTTTTATTCACCACCAGCCACCCAATGAAATTACTATCAACCAAAAAGGAAGACTTAAACTGCAGAACAACCAACTAGGTTAACTTAACAGTAGAAAAAAGGTACTGAATGCATGTCATGTCTAACATTTTCTGTATGCTTATTTTCTACTGTTATAAAGAAATAAACGTTGAAAGTTACACAATATGTTCACAATTTTCTTTTTATTCACCACCAGCCACCCAATGAAATTACTATCAACCAAAAAGGAAGACTTAAACTGCAGAACAACCAACTAGGTTAACTTAACAGTAGAAAAAAGGTACTGAATGCATGTCATGTCTAAAAGTTTAGCTCCTCTTTGTTATTGACTTTCATTCCTGGCACATCCCCGCCAAAGTCATTCTGATTACAAATGTCATTCGTGTGAAACAATAGTGTTTGTTTCCCCATTTAACTATATTAGAACACATTTTTCAAGTGGAAAACCTAAATAAATATATCATCTAATCATACACACTGTGCTCAGACTAAACTGCTTTATATTACTTTGCTCTAGCTGACTGAATTAACGTCATGTTTGAAAAATCTCGCTTAATGATATTTTCAACTTCTTAGAGCAAATTTTCAAATTACATTTGACCAGTACTCATTTAAAATTCCCTGACACCAGCAGAACAAACAAAAATTTACAACTTAATCTTTTTGAGTAGTAATATGGGAAATTAACATACTCCATTCCTCAAATCTAAGTTCTAAGTACTTCATAAGAATGTCATGAAGTTCAACAAGGCCAAGTGCAAGGTTCCACACCTGGGTCAGGGCAATCCCCAATATCAACACAGGCTGAGGGATGAAGGGATTGAGAGCAGCCCTGCTGTGGATGACAAATTGGACATGAGTCGGCAATGTGTGCTTGCAGCCCAGAAAGCCAGCCATATAGAATCATAGAATCACTTTGGTTGGAAAAGACCTTTGAGATCATCGAGTCCAACCTTTAAACTAACCCTAACATCCCACCACTAAACCACGTCCCTAAGCACCTCATCTATCCTTCTTTTAAATACCTCCAGGGAGAAGGACTCGACCACCTCCCTGGGCAGCCCATTCCAGAGCCTGACAACCCTTTCAGTGAAGAAGTTTTTCCTAATG